TGATCTCTTAGTAGCATTGTTGTCCGTGCTACTTCTATTTCCACCTTTCCTGATTCTTGGTACCTACGTGTAAATCACTTACACGCTAAGTCATAGACTTAGTGAGGCAATAAATGAATATGCAACAATAAACTTGTGAATGTTCATACATAAAATTGGATCATGACATTTCAATATGCATGTATCTATCGCAAGATAACATATAATGCATATACGAAACTTACATTCTTGTATCACTTTCACTGTAAATCGGTATTTCAATTGCATAGCCCATGTATATTATTGAGATTAGAAGTATGTGAGTGCATTGAGGTTGTGCACTAATGTTGTCACCACAGCTCGTATCTATTCCCTCATGGGGCACCGAACCTTAGTTCAGTATTCGTCCCGTATGACTCCTACATCCCGAAGGACTACGTCCCGAAGGACTACGTCCCGAAGGACTATTATACCATCGACTCTTGGTATGCCAATTACACCTATAATTCTCATATCGTATACTATGGGCATTATTCTTATATTTCATATGTTCATGTACTCATATCATTTCTCTTGTGATCATGTATCTCATATCACTTCATATCATGTTCTCATATCACAGGTCATATCACATATCATATCACATGAACAAATATATATATCTTATGCATGTATCACAATAATTATCATGTATGCATGTTCACAACTACTGTATTATAAAAATCAACATAGGGATTAGACTTATCACAAGTCTTATTCCATTATAATATGCATATAGTATGCACTCACCTTAGCTTTGCTTTGATTCGATTCTAATCCTTTGATCATTCCGGAATAAGCTTACTTTTAGTATCTACATAATCGCACATGGATCTATATCAGTATTATAACTAATATACTCTAATGATTCACTCTTTAGACTAAGAGAAAAGTCAATTTCATCTTTTAATGAAGGTATGCATCGATGCACTACTGATGCATCGGTGCATAAAAGGTATTCGATGTAGTATTATTGCTGGGATGCATCGATGCACTCCTTATGCATCGATGCACCAATTTCATTCGATGTTTCATTATTAATGGGATGCATCGATGCAATACTTATGCATCGATGCATGAATTACATTCGATGTCTTTATTTTAAAAGAGTGCATCGATGCACTACCAATGCATCGGTGTACATTCAAACAATTTCTGGGTTTTAACCTTGATGCATCGATGCACCATGAATGTGCATCGGTGCACACTGCCCAGAATCCTCTTTTTGAACCCGAAAGTTCATTCATTTGGATTAAATCCTTCATGTTTAATCCCCTTTTTCATTCTTAACTCTAATACACATCCTTAAACCAATTTATACTCATTTATTTCATCTTAAACCTTAAAATCCTATCCTTCATATGTAATTCAAGAATTACATTAATAAATCAACATGTTTGAATTCCGTTTTTAACACTTCGTATATCTTAATTAGATTGATGACAAGTTAAATATAACTTTCAATTCTAGTTATGAACTCTATTCCAAGATTTCATTTAAGAACTTCAAATCTTTAATCTCTCATAACTCAATCATCCTTTGATGTTAAGATAACTTAAGCTTTCCTTAAGCTTAGTTATCATCTAATAATCAAAACCCAATATTAAATTTAACAAGAAACTCAACAATCAGAAATCTTACATTTGCTTTGGTTCACACGTACAAGGAAGAAAGAAGAAGAAGATAACTCTTGAAGCCTTTGGTGTTCTCTTCTTTTCATCCCACCTGTAGTCATATACATCCTTATCCCTTCTTTAATTAATTTTCCTTGCAAATGACTCTTTTGCCCTTCCATTCCTTTTTCCTTTCAATTCAATCCTACACAATCATTTACATATAAATCTTTATACTATTCATTCATTCTATTTTAATCACCAAAATCTGAAACTTTCCAATTTAGTCACTAACCCGGTATTGAGGATGTTACAAAGGGATTGATTATTGCAGAAGTAAAGACCTTGAAGGAATAACATTCAAGGTTGACTTCAAGAAAGCATATGACTCAATTGATTGGAGTTTACTGCTAATAATCATGGATAATATGGGGTTTGAGCAGAGGTGGAGATCTTAGATGAAAATGTGTTTGTCTACGGTTTCAATTTCGGTTTTAATGAATGTGTAACATCCAAAAAAATCAGGGCTAATGACTAGAATGGAAGTTTTGAAACTTTGACATCGGATTTCAAAAAATTAAAAAGTTTAGGGACTTAATTGGGAATATTTTATGAATATTGGTTTAGTAAATATTGAATGAATTAAGGGTAAATTGGTCTTTTCAAATGAATGATTTTTATCTTTCCTTTTTAAATGATATTACCACGTGGAAATGGGGGAAAGAAAGAGTATGAGATATCTAGAGCATTCTTCAGTCTTCTTCTTCCTCTCTATCGTGGGGCCTTGCATAAGGTAAGTATGCTTCTCAGTGATTTTCCTTTCATGTTAAGGTTGGTTTTAATTCTTGGAGTGATAAGAAAAGTTAAGGAAAGCTTAAGATCGCTTAAAACTCAAAGAGGATTAAGTTATGTAAGATTAAAGGTAAAGAGTTTTTAAAGGAATTATTGAGATAGAGTTAGTAAATAAGTTTTGAAGTGAAATATGACTTGTCAATGATCTAACTAAGAAATTCAGAGTGTTAGAAATGAATTTGGAACATGTTGATTTATTGGGTTGATTATTGAATTCAAGTTTGTATGTAGGATATTGGATATTATGATGAATTAAAGTGATATAAATTGATTTGAATAAGTATAGTTAAGTCTCAAGGGTTAAAAGCAGGTTATGGAAGAAGAATTAAGTGAGTTTGGTAAGATTTTCGAGTTAAAGAAGTGTATTCTGGGTAGGAGTATCGGTATTGTTCATTCAATACCGATACTTCAAAGAGAAAATAAGTGATTATTAAGGTATGTGTATCGAAACTGGTTGAATGAGTATTAATACCATAAGACAAGAATTTATAAATTGTTCATGGGGTATCGATACCTGGGAAGGTAGTATTGATACCAAGAGTATCGATACTATAAGGTTAGTATCGGTACCCATTTTTGAAATAAAGATTTTGAATGTAAAAAGGGTATCGATACCCAAGCTTGGTATCGATACCATAGCTAGGGAAGTATCGGTACCATGCATGGGGGTACCGATACTACTCAAAGTGGAAATTGTATTAAGCATTTCGTTTAGCTTAAGTTATTAAGGATCGAATTATAACACTTAGAATTCTGATATGCATATCAAATGTTTGATTGTGTAGATATTGATCCGAAGTGAGTATTTGATGAATCAACGAGATAAGATTGAGCAAGAAAGAACTAAAAGATCAGTATTGACGTGTGAGGCCAGGTGAGTGCATATTAGTTAGTATATAATGATGAATGGAAATAAGACTTGCGACAAGTCTATTTCCTATATTAGGATGCATGAAATAATGTATATAAGCATGTTATTGATAAGAGTATATATGCGATGTGTTGTTACACATGTTATATGATCTGTGTAAATGCATGTTATGTGATTATGATATCAATGATGTGATAATAAACTATATGAATATTTAAAGGTGAAATAAGCTACATAATATTGATCTATATGACCATGTGTGAAAAGGTATAAGTTATGTGATTATAAAGTATGTGAACATATGTATATGAGATAAGCCATGTGAATATGAGCTATGTGATTATAAGTGATATGATTACATGATTACAAGAGATAATCCATATGATATGATTACATGATCACATGAGATAAGCCATATGATATGATAAGAAACTATGAGAACATGTGTCTATGTGATATGACTATGTGAAATGAGATAAATGATAATGCCCATGTTATGTGTCATGAGAGCTAGAGGTATAGTTGGCATGCCAAGAGTCGAGGGTTCTATGTGGTCATTCGGGACATATATGTAATCCTTTGGAACATATACGCGGTACTTCGGTACACTTATTCGGTCAATTGGAATATGTATATGGTTCTTAAGGAGTGGTCTTTCGAGATATATGTGTTTTATGTGGTTCTTCGGGGCATATTGGTCATTCGGGACAAATCCTACGCGCCCTTAGTGGAAATTATACGAGCTGTGATGATAACATATATGCACAACCGCGATGTACTAATATATCTTTAGTTCTCACATGTGTACATGGGCTAATAAAAAATAATATAAATAAACTTGGTATGATTATATGTTTGTTTCATTGTGAAGTGATATATGTGATATGATGATGTGTATATGGCTTGGTTAAGAATGTTAGATACAAGAACATATGACTAAGAGATAAGAATGAAAATAAGGCTAATAATGATAAGAGTAATAATAAGGATAATGATATGTTATGAATATGTATGTATTTATGTTTAATGCATAATGTGTTTTATAATTAACATGATTACATGAAGTGTGCATAGTAGGAATTAGTATTTAGATGTTATATTTAAGTTTATTTATGCCTCCCTAAGTTATCGACTTAGTATTTGAGTGTTTCACACGTATGTTCCAAGAAGATTAAGGAGCTGAGAGGAGCAAGACAGGTCAATTTCTCCTTACCGAATGTCAGATCAGAAAAGAAATGGATATGGTTATGTATTTTGGTATATTGAACGTAGTTGACATGTACTAAGAGATTTGTATTGAATATGCTCTGACAGGCTTTGTAAAACCAAATGTTTTTAATTAATGCAATTTATTCAGTTTGATTTAAATGTGAAATTGAAATTCTTTAGCTATTTTGTGAAAAGAAACAATTTGAAAAATTAATGTGACACATCGGACTTGTATTCGGGTCGGATACGGGTTGTGGGTGTTACATTTAATGATATCAGAGCTAAATCTTAACCGATTCTAGGCTTAAACCAAAATCAAACGAGTTTTAAAAATGTGTACATGCCAATATAAAATGAAAATTTCTGATATTATAGTGTAAGGAGTATGTTATCTTGCTAATAGAATTAGATTGTTATGTTATAATAAAAGTATGATAATGAGAGTTTCGAAAGAAGTGAGAGGTGATAGACCTGATGGTGGTAGCAATTCATCTGCCCTGACCAGGCATGATGAAGAACGAACACCTCAGGAAGTGTCTCGTAAGATCAAAGGTTGATTTCAGGAAGTTGAAACTATGTTAGAATAAAGTTAGAAGGTCTCACTGTTTTGAATCAGAAAAGTGATATGAAGTAGTTTCGTTATTACGTGGATAAGATATAATATGGTGGACAAGTATCACTATAAGAATGTTAAAAGATCAAAGGATGTGGTTAGAATTTGTAAAAGGGTTAAAAATAAGTGCATCAGTGACAAGTGTATAAGATAAATGAAACCAGAGTTTATGAGTTTGAAACAAGGGAATAGTATATTATAAGTAAGAGTGTAGCTTTGATAAGAGTTTGTATCCTAGATTAAAAGATTTGGTGCTGGCTAATAGGGTTATGAGATGGAAAGTGTTGGAGTTAAAAGATTTGAAGATATTGTCAGGATGAGTTAACCAAATATGAAGTGGATATGGTTGTGTATCTTGATTATGTAAATGTGATGTAGTGAATGAGATAAGGATTCGTATGTTTAAGGGGAGTTAAGGATTGATAGAAAAGTTTAAGATGATAAAAAGGGATATTGGTATTGTGATTTGAACAATGATTTTACAAGGAATAAGATTTGTGCAAAAAAAATGTGGATTATCAGAGTTATGAAGACGTGATAAAGATGGGTAATTAGAGATAAGTATAAGTAATATGAAAAGAGTATGAGAGTATGAAGAAAAAAGATATGGCTGATGTTATAAAGAGATCTTAATTTATGGAAAATAATATAATAAGGAAATGAAAGGATGGAGTTTACAGAATCAGATATGACAAGGGTTATATGGAAGTATAAATTATAAGTTTGATATAGAAGAGAAAAATGTGTATTGTGATGTGGAAAGATTGTTTGATTTCGTAAAGTATACGCCTTAATCATATTGGATGAAGATTTAAGGTTGTGTTTCTTAATCAAGTAGACGTAGTTAGAGAGATAAGGATTTATTTATATGTATTAAGGAAGTTTAGAGGCATCCAAATGATGATGGAATAAAGTTTGGTTATTATTACAAAGTAATTAGAGATTGATAAGGACATTGATTGATTTATGATTTTGAGTGATAAGAACTGATGTTACTTTTTATATGATAAGTGACATTAGATGGATATATAAAGGGAAAAGGTAGTTGAAGAACTAAAGGAATGAAAAGCAAGTTTTCTGACGGTGACAGGAAATATTAAGTAAAAGAAGCAACATGAGAACATTAGAAGATATGTTCTTAATGATGTGTGCAGTGAAAATTCGAGGACGAATTTTCTTAAAAGGAGGGGAGATTTGTAATACCCCAAAAAATCAGGGCTATTGACTAGAATGAAAGTTTTGAAACTTTGAGGTTGGATTTCAAAAAATTAAAAAGTTTAGGGATTTAATTGGGAATATTTTGTGAAGGATGATTTAGTAAATATTAAATGAATTAAGGGTAAATTGGTCTTTTCAAATGAATGGCTTTTATCTTTAATTTCTAAAGGATATTACCACGTGGAAATGGGGGGAAAATAGTAAGAGATATCCAGAGCATTCTTCAGTCTTCTTCTTCCTCTCCATCGTGGGGGTCTTGCATAAGGTAAGTATGCTTCTTAGTGATTTTCCTTTCATGTTAAGGTTGGTTTTGATTCTTGGAGTGATAAGAAAAGTTAAGGAAAACTTAAGATTGCTTAAAACTCAAAGAAAATTAAGTTATGTAAGATTGAAGGTAAAGAGTTTTTAAAGGAATTATTGAGATAAAGTTAGTAAATAAGTTTTGAAGTGAAATATGACTTGTCAATGATCTAACTAAGAAATTCAGAGTGTTAGAAATGAATTTGGAACATGTTGATTTATTGCTTTGATTATTGAATTCAAGTGTGTATGTAGGATATTGGATATTAGGATGAATTAAAGTGATATAAGTTGATTTGAATAAGTATAGTTAAGTCTCAAGGGTTAAAAGCAGGTTATGGAAGAAGAATTAAGTGAGTTTGGTAAGATTTTTGGGTTAAAAAAGTGTATTATGGGTTAGGGGTATCAGTTCTGTTCATTCAGTACCGATACTTCAAAGAGAAAATAAGTGATTATTAAGGTATAAGTATCGATACTGGTTGAATGAGTATTAATACCATAAGACAGGAAATTATAAATTGTTCATGGGGTATCGATATCTGGAAAGGTAGTATCGATACCAAGAGTACCGATATCATAAGGTCAGTATGGGTACCCATTTTTTAAATAAGGATTTGAATATAAAAAGGGAAGGATTTGAATAAGGTCAGTCTGGGAAGGATTTGAAATTTTATTAAGCATTTCATTTAGCTTGAGTTATTAAGGATCAAATTATAACACTTAGAATTCTTATATGCATATCAAATATTTGATTGTGTAGATATTGACCGGAAGTGAGTATTTAATGAATCAACGAGATAAGATTGAGCTAGGAAGAACTAAGAGATCGATATTGACTAGTGAGGCCAGGTGAGTGCATATTAGTTAGTATATAATGATGAATGAAAATAAGACTTGCGACAAGTCTATTTTCTATATTAGGATGCATGAAATAATATATATAATCATGTTATTGATATGAATATATGTGTGATGTGTTGTTTTACATGTTATTGATCTGTGTAAATGCATGTTATGTGATTATGATATCAATAATGTGATAATAAACTATATGAATATATGAAAGGTGAAATAAGCTACATAATATTGATCTATATGACCATATGTGAAAAGGTATAAGTTACGTGATTATAAAGTATGTGGACATATGTATATGATATAAGCCATGTGAATATGAGCTATGTGATTATAAGTAATATGATTACATGATCATAAGAGATAAGCCATATGATATGATTACATGATCACAAGAGATAAGTCATATGATATGATAAGAAGCTATGAGAACATGTGTCTATGTGATATGACTATGTGAAATGAGATAAATGATAATGCCTATGTTATGTATCATGAGGGCTAGAGGTATAGTTGGCATGCCAAGAGTCGAGGGTTCTACGTGGTCCTTCGGGACATATATATAATATTTTGGAACATATATGTGGTACTTCGGTACACTTATTTAGTCCATTGGAATATGTATATGGTTCTTAAGGAGTGGTCCTTCGGGACATATGTGTTATATGTGGTCCTTCGGGGCATAGTGGTCATTCGGGATAAATCCTACGCGCCCTTAGTGGGAATTATACGAGCTGTGGTGACATCATATGTGCACAACGTCTATGTACTCACATATCTTTAGTTCTCACATGTGTACATGGGATAATTAAAGATAATATAAATAAACTTGGTATGATTATATGTTTGTTTCGTTGTGAAGTGATATATGTGATATGATGATGTGTATATGGCTTGGTTAATAATGTTAGATACAAGAACATATGACTAAGATATAAGAATGAAAATAAGGCTAATAATGATAAGAGTAATAATAAGGATAATGATATGTTATGAATATGTATATATTATTTATGTTTGATGCATAATGTATTTTATAATTAACATGATTACGTGAAGTGTGCATAGAAGGAATTAGTATTTAGATGTTATATTTAAGTTTATTTATGCCTCACTAAGTTATCGACTTAGCGTGTGAGTGTTTCACACGTAGGTTCCGAGAAGATTAAGGAGCTGAGAGGAGCAAGACATGCCAATTTCTCCTTACCGAAGGTCAGATCAGAAAAGAAATGGATATGATTATGTATTTTGGTATATTGAACGTAGTTGGCATGTACTAAGAGATTTATATTGAATATGCTCTGATAGGCTTTGTAAAACCAAATGTTTTTTAATTAATACAATTTATTCAGTTTGATTTAAATGTGAAATTGAAATTCTTTAGCTATTTTGTGAAAAGAAACAATTTGAAAAGTCAATGTGACATCTCGGACTCGTATTCAGGTCGAATACGGGTTGGGGGTGTTACATAATGGTTTTCCTTCGGATGAGTTTCGGATTGCAAGGGGTCTTCGACAGGGTTGCTCTCTGTCTCATCTTCTTTTAAATTTGGTTGGTGAATTATTGAGCTTGATGTTGTCGAAGGTTGTGTCTTTAGGCTTATTTAGAGGATTTGAGATTGAAAGTTTAGGTAATTCCTTTGAGCTCTCTCACCTCCAATTTATAGACGATTTATTAATATTTTGTAACGCTTCGATTGGGGAGTTGAAGAATGTGAGTAGGGTGATTTTGATCTTTGAGATGATATATGGCTTGCAAATTAATTTATCCAAGAGCAGGTTATATGGAATCAACGTGAATGAAGCGGTCCTTAGTGAGTGAGATGCTATAATAGGTTGCACAATGGGTTTATTCCCAATATTATTTGGGGTTACCTCTTTGGGAGAAGAAAAAATTAGCATCATTATGAGACCAGGTTATTCAAAAATTTTACAAGAAATTGGCTGGGTGGAAGTCAACTTCTTTGTCTATTGTTGGTAGAGTTGTGTTGATAAAATCTTTTCTTTGTTCCATAACAACATATTTCATGTCATTTTTCAGAATGCCAAGTTGTGTATTGAAGAGGCTTAATTCAATTATGGCGAAATTTCTTTGGGGGGATTCGATTGCCAAAAACAGAATTCATTGGGTTAACTGGTCTACCGTTTGCAAGCCTAAGGTTTTGAGAGGGCTTGGGGTTCCAAATTTAGAGCTTATGAACAGAGCTTTATTGGGAAAATGGACGTGGAAATTTGCTAATGAGAAAAACTCTTAGTGGAAAAGGATTATTTTCTACAATAACAAAATTGATCACAATTCAATGGGGTTGGGAAATTCGACCTCTTATAAAGCATCTTGGATATGGAAGGGGTTGTTAAAAATTGTTGTTTGAATGATAAATTTGGACTTTATTTGCGGAGTAATTTTAAAATGAAGGTGGGCAATGAGGATTTAATTTTGTTTTGGCATGACGCTTGGCTTGATGGAGTTCCATTGAAAGAGCATTTTTCAAGATTGTTCACTCTTTCGATTAACAAGGAGGGGAAGATTGTCAATTTCAGGAAATTAAACTCCTCAGGCTATTTTTGGGACATTCAAATGAGAAGAAATATTACCGATTGGGAGATGCTGCAATGGAATGAACTTATATTTCATTGTTGTATAATTTTAATCTCCCGCCTTTGATTGATGACAACATTGTGTGGTCAGGAGAAGGTGATGATCATTTTTCAGTTAAATCTTGTCTTAGAATCCTTCTTGACAATTTGGATGATAGTTTTTTTTGGTCAAGACATGTGTGGTCTGGTGTGGCTCCTCCTCGGGTCGAATCTTTTGTCTGGCAAGTGGTGTACAAGAAGGTAGCAATCAAAGTGGATTTAATTAAACGTGGGGTACAAGGGATTGAAGATCCATCTTGTCCTTTTTGCGGGCTAGCTCAGGAAGCTGTTTTTCATTTATTTGTTTCTTGTAAAGTGTCTTGGGGTTTATGGGTGAGGTTTTAGGAGGTCTCTTTTGCTATTCCTTAGTATCCTGCATCATTGATTTCCGATTGGTTTAACCTTGTATCTCGATCAACCATTTGGGGGTTCATACCAGGAGCCGTTTTATGGTCAATTTGGAAGATGAGGAATGAGATCATTTTTAAGAAAGGGAAGCTGAATTTTTCCCTGTTATCCTTTCTCTCGAGGTATAGAGTAGCAGCACGGTTTATCTCAAAATTTCCAAAAGTGTTGATTTCTTTTGATAGCCTAGTAGGGATCCTTTTTTAGCTGATCATGTTTTGAATCCTGATAGGATCCCTTCAAATTTGGTGAGCTGGTCTCTGCCTCCAATCGATTTTGTTAAAGTGAACGTGGATGGTGCTATGGATAGAATATGGTTGAAAGGTGGCATCGATGGGTTGCTTAGAGATGAGAAAGGTATGGTGTTGGGATCGTTCTCTGAGAGAGTTGGTTCTGACCCTCTTATTCTGGCAGAACTGTTGGCAATTAAGAGATGTTTGTTGCTTTTCTTGGAATCGGGGATGTCGGTGAATCGAAGACTTATTTTAGAATCCGATAGTGCTATGGTTGTGGATTGGATCAAGAATCCTACCGCCACCACCCCATTTTTCTTCTCCATAGTTAAAGATATCGCCTCGATTATGGTTGATAAAGGTGTTATTGTTAGGCATGTGTTGAGAGCAGCGAACTGGGAAGTAGATGAATTTGCTAAGTCGGGGATAGGCTAATTGGTTGGAGTATTTTTGTTGCATTGAGTGTGTTGTATTTGGGGAATTAAAATTGGTGTTTTTGGTCTATTGCAGCAACTCTTAAGCCAACCTGAATCTGTTTTTCCAGACACATGACTCAAGATTTTTGGGCAGTCGGATTAACATTTCTAACCGGATCAGAACATGACGTTATCTAAATTATATTTCTTTTGAGATATTTTTCTGAGTGATTGCATTTATTGTTTCGGCTTAGCCGTATAGCTAACATTTGTTTTAACTGCCATTAACATTCTGTGTAATCCCATTTCACCTGGACTTCTGCCTATTATCTGTTCATCTTCATGAATATCTGTTTTAATCGTCTATGTTAACCCATTTGTCTGGTTGACTTTCACCTGACACTTTATTATCAGCAACTAAAAACTTAAAAAAGGTAAAAAAAAATGTAAATGTAATTTTCGAATTGATCTGATGATGCAGGTTGCTCAAAGGATAGGAGTAAAGATATAGAGGTTCATCCACTTGGAAGATTGTAAAATTGTAGAGGTTCTTTTACATGATTGTGAAGGTTATTCTGCATTGGCCAGTGTTGATGAGTGTAAAAAGAGAGAGATGTTCGGCTTTACATTATGTGTGAGCAGTACAAAGTAGGAAAACAGTTGGTATTTTACTGGTAATGAAAATAGTAAACTAAAAAGGTCCTCTTGGTTTTTCCTCGTTTGATCTCAACTTAACATGGCTGCAAGCGATGGAGTATATGTGCTTTCATGTGAGAATCCTTTGGGTCTGTCACCAGGCTCTTTGTGATTACTACGATTATTTAATTATACAAAAGGCATCGGCTGTTCTTCCACAATTACAAATTAAATGCATTCTACCATGGAAGATTCAACTTGTCACATGTCTGCTGTTCTTCAATGACCTCGAAAGATATTCTAACTAAATCAAATATGGCCATTGATTGACTGGACTATGGTAGTTCTTTATGTATCTAATTAATTAGTAAAATAAATTGATGTAGAATAAAATTATTATTATTATTAATTTTCATTTGATCCAAAAGGAATTTATCTTGGGAAAAGATTTAAGTAAACCAATTAATAGAGATTGCTTAAGTATTAGTATTAGTATTAGTGTTCCAATGATTTATTTTATCAAAATGTTTTTTTTTAAATAAATGTATATAATCATAGAAATAGCTAAAGCTATTACCTTAGCTCCACCATACCCACACCTTCCTTTACACAAGAAAGGGTCGTACTTGTTACATGACACTGGACATCATTACTTACACTGGCAAGGCCAAGGTCTCCCAGAACAATGCCATTTGATTGATGCAAGGAACTGCTAATCCTAGCCTGATAAGGCAATGAACCCATGACAAAGAAAACAACCTAAAGTCGAGCCAATATCACCCTTCAATGGAAAGTATTCAAACCAACATATTCCAATTTTGACAACCAGTTTTACTCTTTATTTATAAGTCGGATGCACATTTACACATCAAGGTAGTACAAATAATAGTATCTTCTTCCATACGGACTCTATGAAACTAGTATTCAAAGCAATAGACAATAGATGTCTTATATTCCAATTGGTTTGCTGACAGAAACTAAACACCTATGACTACATAACTGCTGTGACACTTGGAAGTTGAATGCTTTTGGATGGATCAGAAATGGGATCAAAACCAAAAGCTCATAACCTGCCGTTGACTACCAAAGTTCTTCCTCTCCCTGCATCAAACTCCTCGAAGCATGATCACATTCATTCATAACACCACAACAATCCCCTTTTGGTTGATCTATACAATGTGGGGCTACAATAATGCTCTCAATGAACAAATGGTCTGATCATTATCTCAGGCTGACTGCAATGTCACCTTCTCCGCAGCTGTGCTTTGGTACTCGGCACAAGCCTCAGGGGTATCTTCTTCACTAGGTGGAACCAGCTGCCAGAACAGTGGTAAGTACTTGTCCCATTCAATCAATATCGTCGAGCCTTTGGCACTCCCAGTTTTTTCCTTCACCATAAGACTTCAAGTTAAGACGTTGTTCAAGGAAATAAAGGTAATGCAGTTGTTAAGATGATTTGTATGGAACTAGTAGACATCAGAGAATTAGCATTAGAGGACCACATAAGAAAGTCAATACCAGAATAGCAAATACGAAGTTTGTAAAACCAGTTTTTAAAGTTGGCAATCCTCATTACAGGAGATAGTATTGATATTATAATTTTAATCTTCAAATTGAAAAAAAAAGGATAACTTTAATTAATTCACTCAGAAAATAAAGAAAATCAATGTGCTTTTAGTAATAGAACAACAGGGGATAAAATTACAAATAGCAAAATCATAGTAAATGGCTATAAATTTCTATAAAGAGAATACAAGTCCGTGCACACACACATCGTGTAAAAATAAAATTCAGCATATAAAATAAATGCATTATAGGTTGCGTCCTTGTGCCAATTATTGCCAACAAAAAAATCATTTAAAATTAGTAGGATAAGATTTTGTTTAAAGAATATACTGAACAGAAAAATTGCAAGTTAGACTCATCATGATTTCAATACTAACCTTTAGTGAATCTAGAATTTACCAAATATTACATCATATAAAAGAAATTCCTATAAATTTTAACATCATTTTATACTCAAGGTTTAGAGTTTTGAGAGGGGCAGATTAATTTTCATATACTATTTGAAGAGCCTAAACTAAATTCACCATGCACATAAGAGAATATTAAAATTTAGCCACCCCTCTCCTATATAGCTCTGTCACTGCTCGCTGGTCAGTATGCAGTGGCTCTTAACCTAAGAAATACGTGACAAATCTAATAATAGTTTATTGTGCTGGTTCATGATGATTGTTGGACAATTCAAGGTGAACTTACAACATGGGCTTCAATTAGGCTCTTAAGCTGCATCTGTCCAACAGGGGCTGTTACTCTTTGGATCTTCACAATTTCCTTATTTACCTGATCAAACATTTATAAAATTATAAAGATGATAATCCAAAGGAATAATGATGATGATGAGAGAGATTTAATCATAAACAAAAAACAGATTCCACTAAATGCTTATGTAACATGAAATTGTAAAGGAGAACAGGAGAAGGAAGGGGATGCAGGGTAAAAATGAAATAAATGGAATCAAATGCGAAAAATCCTTGTAAGTAAAGAGAAGAAATTATATAGATAGATAGATAGATAGATAGATAGATAGATAGATTAAGGAAGAGAAACGGGAGAGGCAGGGAAACCAAAAAAGGAGAATAATTCAAAGTATTCATGTAGCTCTAGATATTGAATCCAGCAAAAGATCCAGAACAGAAACATTAATTTCCACTGACATTCATCCTATAGATTATACTTAAGTTCTATGATTGCCAAAAATGACGCAAGCAGACTTGAAATGTGCAAGAGACCTTCATTGCCAAATAGGTATCTAATGCTTTGGCTAGCAGTTGCTAGCCTCAAAAGTAGAAGAAATTGCTGTTCAAAAAGGCATCTTCCTTCTTTTCTTCTTTTAGCCCGTGGAGAGGGTGGGGGGAAAAGAAACTGGTCGGTATTCCAAAGCTTAGAAATTTAACATCTATCTATCAATATATATATATATATATATATATATATATATATATATATATATATATATATAAAAGTAATAATAGGGTGAATTTAAGTGGAGATAAAAGGCTGTTAGAAGCATTAAAATATTTTATAAACTTTGTCTATGCTATATGTGGCAAAATTCTGCTTGGGAGCAGCTGAAGAAAATGAGACGCAACTGGTAACATGCAATTAGTTAAGAATTTCCTACGGCAGCAGAGAGGTCTCATAAAAAATTAATGGCATAGCAAATCTAGAAATTATAATCAAGGCTCCAGAATCGTAAAGTACTTTCCAATGTATAATAAATTAAGCCAGGATATAAGAGAGGAAGATAGGCCATTTCTGCTCAAACCTTGGGTATTAGAGTATCATCCTCATCGAGTATGTATGCTAGCCCTCCTGTCATTCCAGCAGCAACATTTCTCCCCACTCTGCCAAAAATAAATACGAATGTTCTATGAATTGCATCATTTTGTTTTTGGATAATTGGATAACAACAAGTTGGTTAGTGATAACCAGTACAAATAAATAAATAACAGTTACTCACTTTCCAAGTACAACCACACAACCACCAGTCATGTACTCACAGCAATGGTCACCAGTGCCTTCAACTACTGCTTCAGCAAGTGAGTTTCTCACAGCAAAGCGCTCTCCGGCCTTCCCTCTAACAAAGACCTGGCCACCTGTCGCTCCATACAAACATGTATTGCCTACTATAGCTGCATCCTCAGGGCAAAACCCAGGATTCTCTACGGTGGTTACTACCAACTCACCACCAGCCATACCCTTGTAATATTTATTTATAGAGCTTATGTCAGATTCTATGAAGAAACAATGGAGTTCAATCATTGCTAGAAGGTTCATTTTAATACTTTATCTTAAATTAGAATTTAACTTGAAAGGTTGCCAACAATGACGATGTTCACAAAACAGTTTAGGTTATACCAAAGTGTGTTTGAAAATGCATATTTGGAAAAGGGAAATCTTTGACATAGTTTATGTGTTTAGATTATTTCATACCTAGTTCAGTCTATAGAGGCCAGAGTCAATAAAAAAAGGAAATCGACCGAATCAAAAAATTGCAAATTTTTTACTAACCAAGTTCAAACTTTGGAAAAATCAGACAGCTTTTCTGAAGTCATAAAATTATCCAACAGAGCATGCAGATAGCAGTTCAGTCACAATACCTTTCCCACATAATCGTTAGCTTCTCCAATAAGCCGAATATTCATTCCAGGAGTCAGGAAGCATGCAAATGACTGACCAGCACTACCAGTAAATCTATGAACAAGAAGAAACCTAGTTTAGCTTGCCTGACAGGTACAATTTTATGCACAAACAACAACTATTAAGAAGTTGGATCTCACGTTATATTAATCTGCCCTGCAAACCCAGTGTCACCGTATG